GGTGAGTGTCAAGCTGAGTGCGCTGGCGCACTTCGAGGGGCCCCGCCGAGCTCTGATCGGGGGAAGGGGGAGGGGAGGCGAAGGGGAGGGGGTGGCTGGAAGGACCACCGAACCCGGAAAGCCGAAGCTGCGGATGGACAAACCGCCAAAGCACTTTCGCTGCTTCTCGAGAGGGAGATAGCGAGCGAGAAAAAGAAGCAAGATGGCGGCTAGCCAGCCCCTACGTACGACGTCATTCGGCGGCGTACGTCAGGCAAATCCCCCGCAAGACCGCCCCCCGGCGCAGAGACGGCCGGATCACGTGAGGTCTCCGTGGCGGCCCAACCCGGGAGGAAGGCGACGGCGCCTTCTGCTGGACGGAGGGAGTCCCTGCAATAAGAGCTCCCGCTGCAGGGTAAAGAGTTCGCCTGAGACCTGTCCAGGAGCTCTTAAAGAGACCTCGATTACAGGTTGATAAGCCTCGGGGAAGTGAGCACTCTTGGATGTGCTGGATAGGTGTGTGAATTGGTTCAACCCACAGTTTGGCAGTGTGTATCAAAAGTAAGCCGTACCTAATCTTTAACCTTGGTATTTGACAATATCCTGATATTTTCCAGAAATGCACCTACACAATATTCATACCCAAACCTGTCCGTTGATAAAGATACAGATAAATACACTATGATACATTAATATTATGGACTATTTTGAAGCCATTAAAGTCACAATAATATTTAATAACCAGGGAAACGTTTAAGCATCATTACACTACGAAAACACACATATATGTATATACATAGAACAAAAGACTCAAAAAATGTACTCCAAAGTGTTAATAATGATAAACATGTTAACAAGTTTTTTAGAGCCTTCAGCTTTTAAACAATATTTTATGTATGCCTATCTGTAATTTTCAAATTTTATAATCAGAAAAAGTTGTAATGTATAATGAAAAATTTGTATGAGTCCTAAAATTGTTATGAGAAACAAATGATAAATATATGCATACATATATAGTGTATATATAGTGTGTGTGTACATATATTATTCAGTCATCAAAGATTTACTGAACACCTACTATATGTGCTAGGTACTGGGATACACAGGTAAAGAACAGTTAGATCTTGGTCCTAAAGAAACAGTTTAGTGATGCAGATCAAAGAATAGATTTTGATATGTGCAGTGAAGGAAACAAGCAGGGTATTAAGGTAAAGAATAACCGGGAAGAGGGGCAGGAGGAATTTAACTTTAGGAAGGGTGGTCAGTGAGTATCTTTCTAAAAAGATGCCATTTAAAGTGGGACCTAAATGATAACAAGAAGCAACAATGCAAAGAGCAGGTGCAACAGTGCTCTGGACCAAGTGAACTGCAATTGCAAATGCCCTGATTTGGGAAAGAGCTTGGAATGTTCTAGGAACTAGGAGGAGTATGTCTGGAGTTTAGTTAAGAGAGAGAGTGGCACAAAAAGAGAGACAAGAGCTAGGCTCAGAGGGGCCTTGGAGGCTGGAGTAAGGCATTCAGAATGTCTTCTAGGTGCAGTGAAAAGCCATTGGAAGATTTTAAGGAGGGGAGCCACATGATCCAATTTTACATTTTAAGGATATTACCATTACTGCTGAGTGAAAAGTGTGAAGAATGTTTTGGAGGGAGGGACGGATGGAAGCAAGGAACCCCAGTAGGCTATAACGAAGAAATTGCAGTAGTGAAGAATGATAGTGTCTTGGAGTAGGATAGAGGCAGTGGGATGGAGAGAAGTAAAAAGGTTTGGTATTTATTTTGGAGCTAGAACATATTTGCTTGTGGGAGATGACCACTTCGAAAGGGTATGAAGAAAAGAGAAGATTCAATGATGACTTACGGATTTATGACTTGAACAATGGGTGTATGAGAGTGACATTTATAGAGACCATGGAAATGGGGGAGGGAAAGAAAACAGTCTGGTTGGTGGAACAATAAAAATTGAATGTTAAAAAGAAAAAATTGAGAAAAATTCTATGTTGGACCTGTTAAATTTGAGATGTTCATGTAAAGTTCAGCTGTAGACTAAGTATGCAGTTGACCTGCATGTTCAGACTCAGGGGGAAGTTTGGGGTTGGCGACAGAGATTTGGGCTTAATAGATGTGTTTCATATATTTTTCACATGTATTTCAGAGACATGTACTTAAAGTAGTGGGAAGAGATAAGATTACTCAGAGACAGAGAGTAGAGAAAGAAGAGAAAAGGCTCAGCCCTGAAGAACACCAACATTTAGAGGTTAGGCAGAGGTGGACTTAGCAAAGAACACTAAGGAGATGCCAGAGAACTGGGAAACCCAAAGAAGATGATGTCAAAGAATTGAAGGGAAGAGAGTATTACAAGAAGGTGTGAGCAATCAACTATGTATAAATGCTGCTGACAGGTCAAGTCATATGAAGAAGAAGCCAGAAGTGCCCATTATATTTGGCAACATGGAAGTTCCTGGTATCTGTTACAAGAAGTTTTGGTGGAGCAGTGAGGTCAGGAAGCCATATGGTGTTGAACTAAAAAGGAGATAGATGCTGAGAAAGTGGAGACCATAGATAAACCATTTTTTCGAGAACTTGGACCCTGCCATGAGAGTGAAACAGGTGGTGGCTGGAGGGAATGTGGAGTAAAGAGAGACATTTAAAAATATTGGAAATAGTAGATCATGCTTGTATGTTGATGGGAATAACCCAGAAGAAGGAGGTGGGAGCAACTGTTTAGTAGAAAGAGGGAAGACTTAAAAAGATAGTCTGTGTGAAGGTGTGAAGGGGTGAGACAGAGCACTGCCTGAGGATTCACCTTTGAAGGAGAACAGAGGAGCAGCCTTAGGGACAGTTGAGGATTTGATGGTGGGAGCATAAGGAAAGTCCCACTGATGGCTTCTGTTTCCTCAGCAAAGTAGGGGGCAAGGGAATCTGCTGAAAGGGCTTGGAATGTAGGAGTTTGAGGAGAAGGAGATTCAAAAGTTATTTCTCAGGGAGTGAAAAAGTAAACCTAGTGTGAGGAACAGAGTAGACTGGGCATGCTTTGTGGAGAACACTTTTTGAAGTTTGGGATTATGGATATAAAATATGCTGTTCAGTTTATTCATATGATTTTGCCAGTAGTGTCAGCTCTTTGGTATAGCTATGGAGACGATAGTGAGATTCACCTATGCTGGGTTTTCCAAAGGCAAGTGTAATGCAGTCAGGTGGGGTGTCTGTGTGTGAGGGACTATAGTGATGTTAATATTCTGTTTAAACATATGGTAGATGTGTAGTAAATGGCAACTTGTGTCCACTCGATGAATTATTTATGGTATATTTTAAATCCAAGAATTCACTACCACCTCTCCTCATCTGAGTTGTCTTCCACACCATTATGGTCATGGAATTGTCACTATAACAATGTTGGAATAAGTAAAATAATAGAGAGGTAAATTGCAGGCACTACACCCTCCTCCCCACTCCCCCACCCCCACTAAAATCAATGACCTTTTGCAGTGGAAAAACTTGGCTGATACAGGGTCACTGGCAGGGGAAGACCTGATGACTGTCCCCAAGAGGACAGGGAAACAAGACTTCGGTGAATTTTCCAAAACACTCTAGGATGTGATCTAGAGTGTCTTGAAGAGAAACATCTTTCTTTAGCAACGTAGAACAGCTCCAGCATCAGATAAGCTTACATTAACCAAGGTCGCAAGACTGACATATATAACCAGAGTAGTTATTAATTTCCAAGAGCTATAATTTATATGCCTGAACACTCAAAACTGCAAAGCCAGCACATTTTCTATGTAGACAGCCCTACTCAGGAGGACAAAGGCATTATCGGAAGGTTGCTCGATGAGCACAGATTCAGAGCAAGTGGAGTGGTGTGTGTATATACTGTTCTTGACTCGTCTGTCTCCGTGACAGGATGACTTTGTCCCCAGGATAGAGATACTCAGTTTCCAATGATTGCAACTTTCTACACTGAGCTCCAATACAGTAGGGACATCCTGCCGTGCTGGTGATTTGGGCTCTTTCTCTCCTGACGGTGCTTGGATGGGCACTGGCCCAAAAGTGCCCCTGTATGCTCTTTTCTGCGTTTCCATGGCTACTCAACCTTCTTAGCGATGTTCTTCAATAAAACATCATTACAATTAAGTCAGGCCAGTTTGTGTTTTAAAGGTAATTTTGCTTACTTCTGCTCATATCCATTGTATGTGACCTTAAAGCTTAGCTCTCAGAAAGCAGTCTTATTATCCTTATTTCCTATATTTTGGAGAAAAACCTGACTGCAATTTCTAGGTACTGGTACAATATCAAAGCCAAATAATACTCTTTTAAAAATTTACTTTTGTTTTGAATTACTGGTACCGCTCCTAGCACCCTTTCAACATAGATAAACTTGTCATAACAAACATGTTTTCATGGCAGATTGAATAAAAATTTCCATTTAATTTCCAGTCTGCCATTTAAACATTAATTTTAGGGTAACATTATTAAATTGCCAACTGGTATATGAAATCAGGAAAACCAGTTTCATACTGAAAACAAATTGATTCTCCAAACAACATGACTTATTTTGTTTGTGATTGCCCAGCCTTATTTGCTGGTGATTATATTGAGTTTCTGCCCCTCTCACTGAGATTGATCCTACAAACCTGTAGGCATTGGAGACTTACGGGGTATTATGTGAAAAGTAAAAGAACCGATGAATGTATCACACTTCATTAGTAGAAGTGTTTCCTAAATGTTTATGTGAACATGACAATTTTGGTTTCTTTTCACCAATGGTCTAACAAATCATATTTAGTAAAATTGTGAAATAGTATACGCCTGTGTAATGAAAACCATAATACCCAAACACTGTATGAAAATGTAATCTCATTTTTCAAACCTCAACAGATATTGTAATTTTGCTAATAAAGAAAAATATTACCAGTGCTTTGAAAAATTACCTTTTGTCAACTTGTGAGAGGTTATACACTAAATATATGACAATATATGTGATATGAATATATTACATGTTAAGTAGGATAATTATTTTTATTATGTATGTATTATACAGTTATTAAATGATAATATATGTATTACTATTGATCAACTATCAGTCTATCATTAATTTGCTCAGCAATCCCTTTTATAATGGAATAAAAGGTACAGTTCGGCTAAAAGTATGGTTCATTTATCACAAGTCATATGTCAGTGAAATTTGACTTAACTGAGATTTATTGTCCACTGAAAATTTCCCCAGAATTTTC